GATCGCAGTTTGTAAAAGCCAAAACTTTGCGGCACCTAGCCTAGATCTCGTTCATAATACTCTTCTGACATATCCTACTCATCATAAATCGACAGTTATATACAAAAAAAAAAAAAAGGAAGTAGCCCTCTTTTATTTTGTATTTTTTATCTGTTGATTAGGGCCGGAGGAAAGTATTGTTGGGTTGGTTACCTACCTACGTTTTCCCTCCCACCCACCCCTTGCATGCATCCCGGTTCGGTACAGTGCCACGTCAGCAACGCCACGTCACAGTGCCAGATCAGCAGTGCCACATCAGCAGTGCCATGTCACAGTGCCACGTCACAGTGCCATGTCATAGTGCCAGATCAGCAGTGCCAGGTCACAGTGCCACGTCAGACTCAGTGCCACGTCAGCAGTGATGTCAGACAGTGCAATGAAAGCAGCGCCACATCAGCAGTGCCACGTAAGCAGTGCCACATCAGCAGTGCCACGTCAGACAGTGCCACGTAAGCAGTGCCACATCAGCAGTGCCACGTCAGACAGAGTGCCACGCCAGCAACATGACGGGCCTGCCAGGCCAACTGGCCAATGAGCCCATTGCCGACTACAAAAAGCGCATCCATGCTCAGCTCGCTGCAATCGAGGCTGAGGAACAACGCCAGCTGGCAGTCAAGGCTGCCCAGCTACAGGCGGATGAAGCGGCAACAGCAGAGAAGCTGCGGCTACGGGCCGAAGCAGACGCAGATGCCCAGGCTCTGCTGCAGCGGCATGGAGCCAACAGCATCGAGAAACTCAAGTATTGGCACTTTGAACCGAACGGCGACGAGCCAACACCGGAAGAGCATCATAAGGAGTTCATGGCCAAGCTCGTGAGCAGGTTGGTTTACACATGTAACCACCTACAGTCCGAGCTGGCAAACCTCCAGCGGGCCGTGCGGAATCACAAGACGGAGCACGGGGATGCCACACGGGCACTGGACGCCCGTGTACTAGGCCTGGAACAGGCTGTACCAGGACCAGATGCTGGAGCTTCCAGCAGTGCATCCTCTAGCCGCCRACTGGAGGAACRCKTTGAGCACGTAGTGGCAATGCTAGAAGACACAAGTGTCTTCACAGAGCYGGCCACCATCAGCCAGCGGTTCSAGTTGCTGGACACTAAGATCAGTCAGCAACAGCAGACTGACCACAGCCACAACAACAGCTCGGCGAGGCCATACAAGATGCCGACGTTCCGGACCGAGAAATTTGATGACTACACACATCAAGACCCGGTCGTCTGGTGGCAAGGATTTACAACAGGGTTTGGGGATTCACGAAGTCCCTGACCATCTGTTCATCAGTGCTCTGTTCATCAACACCAAGGGAGGTTGTCAGATCTGGCTCAGCCACATGGCAACCATCCACGGCGTCCAGGTTTCAGACCTGTACAAGGTCTCCTGGGAAGACATGACAAAGGAATGGAAGAAGCGGTTCATCGTCGACGACACCCCGGCACTCGCCGTCAACCGCATCTTCACGATGGCTCAAGGGAGCACACTGACACGTGACTGGCTCACGGATTGGCAGAAAATCGTGGCGACGCCCGATTTGGACTTGTCATTTCCGCATCTGCGGCGTGAGTTCTACAACAGGTCATGTGCCGCTCTCAGCCTCGCACTGGGTGATCGCGAGCAGTACAACACTTTCGCAGAGATCATCAACAAGGCGAGAGAGCTCATCAAGACTAACAGGCCGGCTGCACACGAGAAGTCCACCTGGCAGCCCACCTATGTGGAGAAGGTACGAACTGGTCCGCGACAGCAGCAGTTCGCTGCAGTCCAGTTGGACAGTGGAGATAACCGAGCAGCCACTCCAGCATCAAGTGACGAAGATCAGGTGGCTGCTGTCCAGCCGCGAAGCAACAACAAGTCCCGCAACAATGGGAAGGCGAAATCCGCATCGCAGGCAGGAAATGGACAGCCAGGACAATTTCCATGGGTCAAGTTTTGCTTGACCGAGGCGGAGTACAAGGTCCGCGGCCGCTACAGCAGCTGCTACTGGTGCAACAGCACCAAGCACAAGACCTCCCTGTGCCAAGATCACGGCAAGGAGGATGTGCGACCCCGCCTCAGCTCGGGAAACTGAGCTCCACGGAAGGTGAGGCGACTCCACCTTCTACTCCGCCAGATTCGGCCGCCTTGCTAGCGGCCTCCTGCACATCTGGGGAGGATGCGAATGTCGCAAGTCCTCGGTATACTTACGAGGATTATGCTGTCCACTTGGTTCCACCGCTGGACCAACCGCTCCACGTGCAACAGTCCACCGCATACACGGTTTCATCACCATCGGCAACTGATTCGGCAGCTTCGCCGCAATCCGGGGATTCGACGTCATGGTCAAGACTTGAAGAGCTCGACCCATTGACGGTCACGGACTTCCAGTGGATGCCCGTTCCCTCGACCGGACGATTGCCGAAACTGCATTGCAACGTGCTTATGGCACAATTGCGGGACTACTTTGCACACTGCAGTACCAGCTCCGTTGATGGACGCCGAAGCAAAGGTTGTCGACCTTCACGCTTGCATCACGAAGATTGATCGCGAGTTCAAGACGCAACGGTACGACAACATCGACGCACCATTGCTATACGTACGCATTCAGATTGGAGAGGCGACCTTGCGGAGCATCTCACAACTACATCAACCAGGACTTCATGGTACGCGCCGGCCTTGGCCCACGTGTGCGGAGGAACTCCTAGCCTATGCAAGTCACTCTGGCAGACGGTCATACGCACAAGTCCATCGACCGGTGCATTGACGCCGTCCAAGTGTACTTTGCCCCTCACGCAAGTGAGGCGGTGTCCTTTGACATTCTGGACACCAAATTCGAMATGATCTTGGGCATGTCATGGCTGCGAAGCGAGGATCACTCGGTGAACTTCTTCCACCGCTGCGTTCACATCCGTGATCGGAACGGAGTACTAGTTCCATGCACGGTGCCTCTTCCTCATCCTTCGATCAGCTGCCACGTGGTATCCGCCGCAAGCATGCGAGCTTCTATCATCAGAGACGACATCGAGGACATGGGGGTGTGTTTTCTCCACGCCCTCCCGCCCCATGACGCTTCATCGACGGACTCACCTTCGGATCCACGCATCACTGAACTTCTCGACGCCTACAGCGACGTGTTCGAAGGCCCGCATGGAGTAGTACTGGATCGACCCATCCGCCACGAGATCATCCTCGAGGATGGGGCTGTACCTCTGCGCGGTTGCATCTACCGAATGAGCGAGGAAGAGTTAAGTGTGCTTCGGGCACAACTCGACGACCTTCTGGAGAAAGGCTGGATTCGACCTAGCTCATCGCCATACGGTGCTCCTGTTCTCTTCGTCCGGAAGAAGAACAAGGACCAATGGTTGTGCATCGATTATCGCAAACTCAACGCGCAGATGATCAGGAACGTCGGCCCTCTCCCACGCATCGACGACCTTTTCGAGCGGTTGGGCGGCGCCCAGTTCTTCTCCAAGCTGGATCTCAAGTCAGGGTACCACCAACTCGAGATTCGCAAGGAGGATCGCTACAAGACTGCGTTCAAGACACGAGATGGGCATTTCGAATGGCTGGTCATGCCATTTGGCCTTACGAATGCTCCAACCACTTTCCAAGCGGCTATGACGACGGAGTTCCGACACATGCTGGATCGTTTCGTAATTATCTACGTCGACGACATCCTGGTACAGCCGGAGTTTGGAGGAGCATGTGGAACACCTGCGCACCGTTTTGGAGCGGCTACGACAGACCAAGTACAAAGCCAACCGCGACAAGTGCGAATTCGCACGGCAGGAGCTGGAGTACTTGGGACATTATGTGACGCCGCAAGGCATCCGTCTGCTTGCGGACAAGATCGAGGACCTACGAGTATGGCCCGAGCCCACCAACACCACGGACGTTCGTTCATTCATGAAATTTGCGGGCTACTATCAGCGATTCATCACCGGATATTCCAGGACTGCTGCACCTATGACGARGTTACAGTCGCCAAAGGTGCCATTCGTATTCGATGACGACGCACGCCGGTCATTCCAGGCACTTAACACGGCTATGCTGATGGCACCCGTCCTTAGCATCTATGACCCCACACTGCCGACGCGAGTGACTACGGACGCTTCCGGCTATGGCATTGGGGCAGTCTTGGAACAGCACGACGGCGAGGAATGGCACCCTGTGGAGTATTTCAGTCACAAAGTGCCTCCCATCAACTCGCTTGATGATGCAAGGAAGGAGCTGCTCTCATTCGTGATGGCTCTCAAGCGCCGGCGGCACTTCCTCCTTGGGCGTCGTAGGTTCACATGGGTCACAGACAACAATCCATTGACCTACTTCAAGACGCAGGACACGGTGAGCAGCACGATCAGACGATGGATGTACTTCATCAACCAATTTGACTTCAGACCGAAACATGTCCCCGGCCTCTCCCATTGCGCAGCAGATGCACTTTGCGAAGACCTGATCTTTGCGCTATGTCACATCATGCCTTCGCATTCGACGAGGAGCTTCAGCGACACTTCATCCGGGCATATCAGTCTGATCCGGACTTCGGCACGCTCTATGCACAGCTATCTTCGGATCACCCGTCGGCCAGCCATTTTCGCATTGCCGACCGGTACTTGCTCCTCCACTCGAAAGGTAAGGACTTACTATGTGTCCCACGCGATCGTCGTCTTCAGACTCGCCTCCTCGGCGAGTATCATGATTCACGACTCGCCGGCCATTTCGGAGTCAACCGCACTATTCCACGGCTTCGACAGCGATTCCGATGGCACGACCTCATTACCGATGTCACTCGGTATTGCGACTCTTGCGAAGTTTGCCGACGCAGCAAGCCCCGCAACCGCAATCCCTACGGCGAGTTACGCCCGATGCCTATCCCACGGGAACCCGGACTCTCCATTGTCATGGACGTCACCGGTCCGTTTCCTCGCGACCGGCTCGGGCACGACGGCATCCTCACGGTTGTGGACCGATTGAGTAAGTACGCTTGTTTTCTCGCTTGCAAGTATTACTCCACGGCTCCCGAGCTGGCACGCCTCCTGGACACGGGTTGGATTTGTGGCCACGGTGTACCAGAAGACATTGTCAGCGACCGCGACACTCGTTTCATGTCGGAGTTTTGGACTGCTCTCATGCAGGAGTCCGACACGACAATGAAACCAAGTTCGGCTCGACATCCTCAGACAGACGGGCAGACGGAGCGGGCACATCAAACCGCTCAAATGATGCTTCGTACGCGCATCCATCCGGACCAGAAAGATTGGGTTGACCGCCTCCCCGACATCGAGTTCGCCTACAACACTTCGGTGCATCCGGCGAGCGGCGTGACTCCATTCGAGTTGCACCACGGTGGACGGAAAGGCCGGATCTTCGCCGACCTTCTCCTCCCTCGACCAGCCGACATTGACGCTGCCTGCTCTCCCGCTTCAGTCCGGAAGTACAGGGAATTGCTGACTCAAGCCTGCGCAAATATGCAAAAGGCTCAAGTCCGCATGCAGCAGCAAGCCAACAGGTGTCGCGTAGCATGTCCCATCCGCGCCGGTGATCTGGTTTGGGTCTCCGCGGAAGAGTTTGCACTGGAACAGGATGTTTCACGCAAACTGCTTCCCAAGTGGTTTGGACCTTGGTCTGTGACAACAGCCGCGGGCGATGAGCCCGATGGCCCTTCATTTGTGATCAACATTCCAAAGCATCTGACGTTCCAGCCGGTCTTCCACGCCTCGAAGCTGGCAACATACACGCCAGCCAAGAGCGACGACTTTCCGGACCGACGATCGCAGGACCCTCCTTTTATGGATGGCCATCAGGAAGTTGACCGCGTCATCACCGATCGCAAGTACGGCAGTAAGCCGCGGCACTACAAAGTCACATTCAAAGCATTGGATCGCGACGACACTCGGTGGATTTCAGGCGCAGATTTGAAAGCATCCGCACCGCTGATCTACGCGCATTATGAAAAGCGGAGGTTAGCTCAGGAAGCTTCACGACCTGCCCCTCCCACCCGGACTGTGGTCCCTCCCTCAAACAGACAGCTTCGCCCTCGCAGGTAAGCTMGGTTCTTCAAGGAGGGGGGGGTGTGGCATACTGCGTAGCCACACGGGCCCTRCAGGGACCGTCCCGGACATTCAGCCTAAAAGCCTAAAACTTAGGGCTTACAGGCCCCGTTCGTTTCAGCCTGAAAGCTGAAAAACGAGGGCCTGCAGGCCCTACCCCGTTTCGGCCTATTTCTGGGTCTTTTCAGACCCAGAGTTTTCAGCCTGAAACGGAGGGCCATTTTCAGGCCCTCATTGTTTCGACCTGCCCCTAAGACTCAGGCACGTAAACAGGGATGCGGAACAGGCCAGGAAAAGCCTGTTCCTCACGAGTTCGACCAGGAGCTGCAGCTGCAGCCCCTGCCTCCCTTCGGCAGGCTCAGGAGGCACACCCGTAGTACATAGGAAGTTCCCATGCACTTCACGGGTAGGTAGTGGTCAGTAGGCACGAGTAGTCTTCAGGATTC